GTCATTTTAGAGTTATCCTGCAGCAGCGCTTACACTGCTGAAAGAAGTCTCTGTAGATGTACATGTAACAGATAAAAAGGATCGATTTATTTTAATGGTAACGTTGATGACAACCCGTTTCGCTGACGCATTGTTTTACAGGGTGTATACTGAATGCATTGTTGGAAGATATTGCTCATGTTTATGTTACGACGTTGATATTGATATAACTCATATATTGACCGCAGTACTGATAACAGATAGCAAATAGTACCAATAAGCAGATGCAAAGAGTTGGGCAGATGATGTGTCTTTGATATCCATACTACCTGACTGCTGTATAGGATTCGGACGATATCTTTCAAAACGAACTTAAAAACCCAGCCATGAACCATACTCGAAAACAAGTCTTCGTTTTATTGCAGTTTTTATGAATAATTTATTGTCGCGGTTTCAAAAAGGGGCCAATATATCATTTATTAAACGGCCTCTATCGAAGGAAGTTTTGAAGTTTGTGTTTATTTATATGACTGAAGATTTTTCTTTCTACTTGATCTCTATCTTCTTATGCGTATTCTACAACCAATAACCAGCAGTGTGAGTAGATAGTTTGTCTCTTTCTACAAATGAGCGAAGACGGAAAGACATCAAACAAACCGGTCTAGCTCGAGCGACAAAGCACAATCATTTCTTTCAATCCAGGTCTCAATATCATACACGTTGTTGCTTTCACACCCAAGTGAATTTAAGACCAATTTACATTTTTTTGGGAGGAAAAAAAAGAATACCTTAGGTCTGTTCACTGACCAAAAAGAGTCTAAAATGTGACGAAATAGAACCTAGAATTTTCCCTGGCTCTGCATAATTAAAAAAAAAGCACAATACGAAAATGACGCAAAACTACGTTTATATTAGAGTTCAGGTTTTTATCTAGGTTAAAGGAAACCGAAGTCACATTTGAAGTAGAAAGCAATGAAAATAAATAAATAAATAAATAAATAAAAATAAACTGATTTACTTTTCATCATTTTTATTGCTTGTGTAGAATATATAATCTTACCATTCTTATGTGCTTGCTTATTTTTTTACCACAAAATGGTTTGCTCACTAACATTTAGAACGTATTGATTCTAAGCTAACAGTTTTATTTAGGTAGGTACATAGGATAAAATTTTCACCTGGTTTCGAGAGGAAATATATTTCACTTCCCTAACTGCGGAACGCTCTCGGCTTTGAAACAAGACACGAAGCACAATTTGTTTGAGCTCGGATATCCTCCAGCAGTAAATTAACGGATTCAAGGAACTGTTCAAATAGACCATGGTCAAACCGACACTAAACAAAACCGAGGTTAAGGTAGACCAACCGGAAATACTTACTGCGATTTTATGAGCCAAGTAGGGAAGAAAGGAAACCACAAACGCACAAAATAAGTAAAACATACTGACTACAGATTTCTTATATCGCGAGAAATTCATATCATGGGAGTTCCTGATGCACTTTAACGGATTAATGTGTTTCCCCATCTTACAGGCTTGTTTGCGAAGACAGAGATAGATCTTGAAGTAGGCACAGAATGTTATAGAAAAACAAACCGGCATATAAATGATGGACATAAGCGAGTAGCTTCTTTGATTTCTTGTCCAGGTTGAGGCCCATACGCCGGCTGTAATCCAGATTGAAGCTAACACAACAAAAACTCTTCTCAACGTAACAACAGATTGATAATGAACACGAAGAACCAACGACAGAAGTCTGTCAAGGCTGATGGCAGTCATGGTTAGAAACGAAACGGCCGACAAATGGCTCCCTTCGATGTGAGATATAATTCCTGCAGTGCAGAGGTTTGGAAGGTTTCCGTTGATTTGTGCCCGTCTGTAAGCTACAAACAGCGGCTGGACGATGGCGCCCACACCCAGATCCGACAGAGCAAGACTGCATAACATCGCTTTGGATGGAGAATGTAGCGAAGAAGCCTTGTACAACGCGTACAAGATAAGAATGTTCGCAAACACGGCGACGAGACTGAAAACAGAATTGAGCACGCAAACAATTATATCTGTGAGCACAATGATATCTCTGTCTGCACTGTTGAAAAACGTATCTAAGTGGGTGCAGTATCCTTTAAGTTTGTCCAGGCTTGCGTTCTCAATAATTTCATGGCTGAGGTTCAACATTTTAGCTTGAACGAATGACTAGCACTGTTCCTTAATGATCACTTGCTTTTCTCGAAGTTCTACCAATTTGGCATACTTAGAAAACGATGTATATCTTCCTTTCGTGCTGAGTATATTTTCTAGCAGCTGAACACACTGAATGAAATAACCAAAGGCAAAAAAGCTTTTTACGATCTAGTGATATTGCTTTCAGCCTTTTTCTGGAGTACTTTAGTGCAATCATAGATAAGCCGATGACGTCAACAAGTCTTGCTTCAAAAACCGCACATGAGTTCCTCGGGCAATGGTCAGTTGTCAAGGTGGAGTTACTTCGATTAGAAAAAGCATTAAAAAAAATTGTACATAAACCTTGCCTTTTTATTCCTGGTTAAAATCCACAAATATTGATTGTAGGTAAACGGCGTGACGACGAAACCCTTGTTTCGCTGAACTCGTAAGTGTAAGCTGTTTTACGATGCGTCAATCTCAGAAAAGCATTGCATCAAGTCAGTAACAACGAAATGACCAGTTGATATTTTTACCGTGGATGTCGTTCTCCGAGAGAAATCCGAAACTCACTCAAAATATCAATTCTTGTCTTATACGCCTCTTCAACTAGCAAGCGAATAGTAGTGATGGATCATGACTAATGTGTGTAGATAGAGTTGTGGCTTCGACTGCACGACATTTGATAACGTTAGTTTTCTTACTTCACTGATATGAATAAAAAAAGATGACAGTACGGGATCAACCGTAGCATTCACTGTGATCTGATTTTAAGGTAAAATTGTTATTTGATGTAAAGCACAAATGCTAGAAGGGCCGAACAAACAGCTGAAACAAAGAGCTCAAATTGATCATAACATTGTTAAGAATTCCAAATGGCCGGAGGCAAACCGGTTGGCTGTTTACAAGCGTGGCGGAGGATTTGAACTCAGGGCTACTGTGAGACAAATCCAAGCAGTGGCCAGGGCAGAATTCGAACCCGAGACCCCTAGATTGCGAGTCCAACGCGCTGAACACTCGGCCATGCTGCCTTCAATCAGGTAGGTATTGCTGCTGATATGGCTCAAAGTTCTGCATGAATTGCTGTCGATATAAAGCTCGTAAGTATGTCTGTTGTCAAGTACAGGACCCTTGACAAAGTTTTTCAACACTTACATCAGTTTTGTTTAGATTTTACTGCGACTGAAGAGCCATTTACACTACACGGGATTTTTGCTCTGGCTAATTATTGGTATTGGTGCGTGCTAGTTTTATCCCTGGCTGCTTCAGTTTTGCAATAAAATCCTTGAGTTGCCTCGCAAGTTATTGATGACTATGATGAGTCATTGCCTTTCAGTGTATTTTATCCAGAAACATTTTCCGCTTGGAAATCCAGAGTTACTAACAATCTTTTTTCCTCTTTTCCGACTTTGCATTCGTGGAGTGTTGCAAAAGAACATCAAGTTATTAATCACTGACCATATTTATTATTATAACTGACCATATTTGTTATTAAGTACTTATCAATCGAGAATGAGGTTTTTGTAGGCCGTAATCGACCCGCGGGCATTGCAGAAGAATTAGCCAATCAAAGCGCGCGTTTTATTGGCTACAAACACAAGCCATATAATAATTATAA